TCGACACTTAATTGGCATGCATAAATCCGATGCTAGAATATAAGAAAGTTTCACATAATCGTTACAAACTTATATTCATAAGTAGTGGAGGTCGCTTATAAACAATCACGTTAAGTTTAATTCTAGCATGAGTGACATGATGTCATAGTTGCAAGTGCTTTGTCAATGCTTATGATTTTCATTAAACGTAATGATCTTTGATTGTATCTCTATTATGATGTCATGTAGGGACTTTTTGAAGAATGTTTTGGGTTGTCGAATGATGTCATCCAATCCAATAAAAAAAGGAAAATCTGAGGGTTAACTAGTGATGTCACAGTTAATTTAGGGCATTGTCATTTATAATTCAATGAAGTAGTAACTGGAAATCGAGTTGTTTGCATACATGTCATGTGTGGAGAAAAAGCCTCTAGCTATCCCATCGATCATCTTATTTCTCAATTTCGTTTTACAATCTGTCTAGTTTTCATACTTGTTTGTTTGTTTCAACTTCGTCCAAAACTCAATCCCCCCTTTACTTTAGTGTGTCTAATTAGTTAGAATATGTTTTAGTTTGTGTTTTTAACTGTTTTGATTCAAGTAAAAGTCAATTTTCGTCCAAAGTCATTCCTAGTGTCTAGTTTAAGTTTATTTGGTTGTTTTAAGCTGGTTTGAGTATTTTAAGTTTGCTTTGAGTCTTGTAAGTCTTGTTAAGTGTTTTTAAGTTTAGTTTTATGTTTTTGAGTTAGTTTAGAGGTTATTAGCAAGCCCTCCTAATCCCCGGTCCAGAACGATCCCTACTTATACATATACTACAATTGTCAAAAGAGGGTTTAATTTGTGTGTTAAGTTAATTTTTGCATCAATCTAATTTAAATAAGATCGCAGACATAGTAAATGAAGAGCAAAAGTTAGAGTTTCAATCAGACGAAAGTGTCGACTTTAGAGATTAGAATATCCCCACAGTGTCCAATAAAGAAATATGGAACCTATCAACTTTTCACTCTAGAACAAATAATAGCTCATAGAAAAGACGGTCATAAAAATTCACATTGGTCTTTTACAGATCGCAATAAAACCATTAACAAGAAGAGTTCTCAACATCTCTATCCTGTTATGTCTTCGAGCTGCAAGCTTCACTGACTTTAGTGATAACATTCTTGGAATGCTCGAGTCAAACCTATACAATGGACCAATCAATTTCGATTGTTTCCCAAACCTCACAATAAGCATAACAGATCCGCATATGTTAAAAACACTCACATTAAACATAAAACCCTTTGGTTATCAAGTCTTGGAAGGTGTCCTCTGATTTTTAGAGTCTATTACAAGTGCATGGGTATAAACATAAACTTCCAAGCCATAGCCAAGAGTCCCAGAGAACACACTTTATTAATCCAGAGTAATCAAGAAAATGCCAATATCAAAATAACCACCAAATGGTCAGACATTAGTCTACCATCAGATTGGTTTCTAATTAATGAAAGTAAACTAGTTGATATTCAAATTAACTTAGTCAATCTAGACAACATAGAACAATACTTTGATGGTACAATTAATATTAATTTCAACACTCTAGCTACAATGTCGAGCGTCCAACTTCAGAAATTAAGTCAAGCAACTAGGTCTAAAGAACCAGTTAGACATTCTTTTTCAGGATATACATCAAAATACATATTAGATCGTGACCGAGAATTAATTAATGGTTTAGTAAATATGAGACTCAAATCAGTTAGAATAAACTCCCAAGTTACTCACTCTTGCTACAAAAACCAAACTCAAACTCAAGAAGATCCAACTTCACTGATAACAACTGATTTTGAAGTAAACTAATAATTATTGGTTTTAAATAAGCCATTTAAAAACTGACATCAAAGCAAAAGAAAATATACCAAGAAGAGAAAGATTCAAACAAAGTTACACCCAAGATAAAAAAAAAAAAAAAATTAGATATTTACGAAAAATAGGAAAATTCATGAATAAAAACAATATTGATATATTCTTCTTCGATTTTGTTGACGAATATTATGAATCAAAAAAGAAAAAAAAAATTGAAGTAGTCGCGAAAGAAAATTGGGTCAGACAAGACAAAACCTTAAAATCTTCAAGCCACCCCTTTCCACAACCACAGGAAACAATATTAATCCACTCCAAATACACAAGTAACCGCTACACCCTATAAAATTCCTAAAGAAGATGTAGGAATTAAACCAGTCATAGAACAAAACAACTTCACAAACCAAAGTCTACATACCATAGGAAAACAATTAGATAAAATTAAAAGTAAAATAGACAGACTACCACAACAACAAAAACAATAACCAACAAAAAACCAATGGTAAACTTCCCAAATGCCTCATCTAGTAAAACAGCTCTAAAGACACACTCCACTAGTGAAAAAATAGATCAAATGTTAAGGGAATTTAAAAAAAGGAACAAAAGACCATTAAAGTGGTAAGACACTAAGAATCACAATAAAAAACAACTTCTGAAAATTCAAAGTCAAATGATAGTAATCGAAACGCAATCAAAAAATTGGAAGAAGCTTTTCAAAATTTCGAATTAAAAAGAATAACAAACAAAGGCATGGTAAATCCAACTAGTCTTACCAAGAATTGGTATCCAAGGCCAACACCTCAGGATATTCCAAAGTTAATTCTCAGTGTCAACAGATAAACTCTATGAATGGAACATAGATATTTTATCCGAACAAGAAATTATAAACAAACTACAACATATTTCTATGATTGCTAACAATTATGTTACCACTCATAATCTCAGTCAACCAGAAGTTGTTGATTTTTTAGTCACTGGATTTACAGGGATGCTACATTCCTGGTGGGAAAAACATCTCACTGAACAATCCAGAAATGAAATAAAACATGCAATAAAAAAGAATGACGATTGAACCCCTATATTCAATGAAAGAATTGATATGGAAGTGTCAGACACAGTCAACACATTACTCTTCACAATAATTGAACACTTCATGGGAACACCAAGTAACATAACCTCCATAATACATGATCAACTCAGTAATCTAAGGTGCCCCACCTTAAGTGATTTTAGGTGGTACAAAGATGTTTTCATGTCTAGAGTAATGCTTAGAGAAGACAGTAATCAATCATTTTGGAAAGAAAAATTCATAAATGGATTACCAATATACATATTCATTTTGGAGATGCAATTTTGACTTTTCGAGAAGGATCTTCTACAAATTCAAAGGCTTTTGTTGTTTTCTGCCAATCAAGTGCGCTTAAAATAAAGGAAGATATTTGAAACGACCTTGAAGCATGAAAACATTCCCCATGATGCATGAACCCCCCCTATGTTTATATTTTCCTTCCGATATATATATTGTATAAGTTCATATATTTGTCAACATATATATATTTGTTTCATGCATTAGGTAATTTTTGCTCTGTGAAATTTGTGAGTCAAAGAATCGAAATAAATTAGAACCAATTTAGGGTTTGTCAAACCCTAACTATGTTGAAAAAAAAATGAAAAAAAACAATTTGCAATTGAGCCACTTGCCATCGTGCCAAACTCACCCCAAGCCGAACCTGTAGCTCGAGCCTTAGGCGCTAAAACCATAAGGCAATAGCCCTTTGGACTTTGTTGCATGCGTTGACCAGGCCATTGACCTAGGTTTTAAGCCTGCTGTTTTTTTTCACACATGTTGGCCCACTCTCGCAAGCCTGATACTTGCTAAGCCTTACTTTTTGTCACGGCCTGCCAGCAGCAGAACCTAAGTTGCTGGGTCTCCTCGCTCTAACCCAAAACCCGAAGCTAGCTCACGTTGGGCTTCGTCGTGCACCAGCCCACGCCAACACAAGCTAGGCTTACTAACCCCTACGCCTTTTTTTTTCTTTTGGCCCAATTCTAGCAGATTTGAGCTACACCCGTGAACCCTGAGGCTTGCACCCGTGTGGCCCTGCCCCGTGCACTGCAAGCCAGCCCAATCAAGTTGGGTTGTGTCAATTTTTCGACCTGATGCCATATTTTGGCATCCTATGCTTCTTAACCATACCCAAATTTTTTGGGACATTTTTGGTTAACGCTAATTAAGCTATAATTCACTTGTCACTTGAGGCTGAGGTTGATTCCAGGTTCTTAGTGCAAAGCACCTCGGGGCTGAGGTTGATTTTGGCTGTGCACGTTAGCTTCTCGTACCCTTTTCCATTCTCGCCTAGCTAATGAACGCCTCGCATCCCATTCTCACCGCCCTTTTCGCCACCATGAACCGAGACATCGACGACCCAATCGAAGCTATATTCTGGCAAAAACGGTTGCTCCAGTCTAGAATCTGCAAAAAGCTCAAGAACATGGACTCGGTTCAGAGGTCCGAAGAAGGTAGTCCGTTCAAGTTCAAGCTTCCTGAAATTGCCATCTAAGTGTTTGTGTTTTTGTCTGACTGAAACTGTTGAATTCTCAGATGCTACCATCTCACTGAAACTTTTTTTTTAATAAAACTATTATTTTTATTATTTTATAATAATATTTTAATAAAATTGACTAGGCTATTTGGTTTTAGGGGTGGAGATGTTTTGGCCTATTACTGTTCACTTGAGTGGATAAATGGACTGGGTGCTGGCGCAAAGTCCTTAGCGGTGGAGTTGCTGTTAGTGTAAACAATATTAATCAAATGACCAAATACTTTTAATTTGGTCGATGTTTTGCAGATGAAGAATCTTACATATCAAATGGATGGATGTACGTGGTCACCAGATACATCCCCTTTTTTTCGTGATTTATGCTTAGGATGGTAAAACATTGGTAGCGAATTCATGAATATATAATGGTATTTTTCTTTACCAAAAAATGGAATGATTATCCCCTTCCATTTGAGAATAAAATTATTAAAAATAAAAATAAAAATAAAAATAAATAAAAAGTTCAAAGATACTTCGTAACGGAAGAAGAGAAAAGAAGCCAAAACTGCAGGCAGGGGCAACCAAGACGTGCGCGTGGGGTTTTGAAACCCTCTTTGACAGACCGAGTCACCAACCCTTTCGTCATCAAAAAGGAAATTCCCACTCTATTTAAAGACCAATTTTGTAGATTTATACGAACCGATGACTGCAAACGAAAAACCCAAAGTACAAAAACACAAAGGCCAGGGACATTTCAAGGAAACTGAAGCCTCGAAACGACAGTTCTTAAACCTCGGAGTTTCTTTACTTTGGTAAATATATATACACACAATATATGTTGTGTGTATATATGTACCCTTTTTCTTAATTGTTCTGCTTCTCATCGGATCCGCATCCGCCTGACCAAAATTCAGAGACCCCGATATCGAAAGAATTATTGCTTTATTTTTTTCATTTTTTAATTGTTTTTTTATTGGACTCACAGAATCTCTGGTGGCTTTTTCTGGGATTGTTGGGTTTCTCTGGTTTTTGAGTTATGAGTTGGAGAAGGAAACAAGTTGACGCTTATTCTCCACACAATCCAAGGACTAAATTGCAGAGCAGAGAGCCACAGCACCACCAAGGTATATTTTTTTTATTTCTGATTTTTTTAAAACAAATTTCACCTGTTTTTTTCTTGGAAATTTGAGCTGTTGCATGAGTAGTAGTTTTTAATTCCTGGGGAAGATTGTTTCTTTGAGGTGGGTTTTTGGTTTAGGAAATTGGGTTCGCTTTTGATTCCCATATCTTTGTCTATGTTTGTTTTTATAATTTTTGTGCTTTTTGTTCAACCTTTTTGATGAATGAGGTAATAATTTGTTTGTTTTCGGAATTGTGGAGTGGGATGCTACAATTCATTTATTTATTTTTCTGTAAATTTGCTTCGTGTATCTGCCGAGTTCTTTGTGTTTGGGGAGAATTTTCTTCATAGGAATTGAGATATAATCTGTAGCCATTGGTGAGGGTTTAAATATTAAACAACAAACAAAATCTAATTTTCTCTCTAAATCTCCCCACATATGGAATAAGGTGGGACCAAAGAGAAAGTAAGTTACTAAAAATCTCAATCCAGAAGTCTTCTAAAATCTACCAAACAGCGAAAAGTTTCCCAAAGAAAAAATTTCTGCTGGATTACTTACACTGTGAAAATTTTATTTTCCAATCTAAATATGAGGAGCAATTGAGATGTAGGTAACTCCCCCTCTCAAATGTTAAAAGGTATCCTTTTTTCACTCTGTTAAAGCATGTGTAGTTTTGTTAACATTTTCAGAACAATGATACTTCCTGCTTAGGCTCTTAACGTTTTTATGTACTTTGTGTTCTGTTATGAGGTTAATTTTGTTTAGAGTAAGATGTTGTTTTGACAATGATGCAGCTGTGGCTTTATGATGGCAGAAGTTCTTTCTTTTGAATGATTTCCTTGTTTGAATTTTTCTCTGAAGTATAGGGGTGTTCGAGTTATGTTTGGTTGATAATTTTCTATGTAGATTTTATCCCAAGGGATAGGGTTTTTGGCGGTATTTGTACATTTTTGTTATTGTTTTAAGTTAGCATGTGTACATGGGATAGTGCAGCTTCTATATTTGAACCGCGAAAGTTTTAAATTGGAGGTATTCCCGGCTTTAATGAAAATAGCAGCACTAGGGTTTGAAAAGTGGTTCTTTCTGACTCGGATAGTTTTGCTGTTAAGGTTAACGTGAGACTGAAAGTTTAAAATTGTTGGTATTTGCAGCTTTAATGAGACTAATGACACTAGGATTTGGAAAATGGTTCGTGATGATTTTATTAGTTTAGTCATTAAGGTTAACGTGAGTGTGGAAGCTTTAAATTGGAGGTATTCCCGGTTTTAAAGTGAATAACGACACCAGGGTTTGGAAAGGGGTTCTTGCTGATTTGGTTAGTGCAGCCGTTAATTTACCATGAGAGTAAAAGTTTTAAATTGGAGGTATACCCGGCTTTAATGAGAATAACGACACTAGGGTTTGGAAAGCAGTTCTTGCTGATTCGGTTAGTTTAGCCGTTCAGGTTAACATGAGATGGATTTTCAATACTGTAACCAGAAAAACGACCGTGAAACTGCTATTGAAATCAGGAACAGTCAGCAACTTGTCATTATTGATTAGATTTCCTTTTGTCATTTTTTGTGGTGGGTTTTTCTCTTAATCTATTTGTAGCACCACTTTTCAATGCCGTATCATATTTCCATCTTGGTGATGTGTCATTGTATCTTCTTCTAAGTATTGCTCCATCTCTGATAATTTATTGCCTCTTTTTCCCCTTTCAGGAAGTTCTTGTTTGTGTAGATTTTTTTAATTGTTATCCAAATGTAGTATTCTGTATGTTCATGATGACTGAATTGACATTTCTCTTCTGTTTGCTTTGCAGATTGTTGGCAATTAGGTGCACCTTACTGGGAAAAGCAATTCTGTTTGATTGTTGGCTCAGTTCCATGGCGGAGGGTTGTAGAAACAAAGAAGGATATGCATCTCTATGAAAGCATCGTTCAATGGAATGATTCTGCTAATTTAGAGACATTCAACAATGAGAAATACCGGTTTTGGGCAGCGATTAACGGCCTTTCCTGCAACATATCATTGCCAGATCCTGACATGTATATTGATGACATAGATTGGAACTCCAGTATTGATCCTGAACTGATTTTGGACTTGGAAAGGGAACCTGAACCCTCCAATGATGAGAGCCAAGATAAAGGTGTCACTGTTGGTAATCCTCTCCTTTTAGATCAGTCGCTTGCATGCATTGGATGGGGCGATGCTGAAGATGACCTAAAAAATAATGAAAATCCTGCAAACTGGGGTAGTGGATGGGGCGCTGCTGAAGAAGACTTAAAAAATAAAGAAAATCCTGCAAACTGGGGTTGTGGATGGGGCGACGCTGAAGTAGACTTCAAAAATAAAGAAAATCCTGCAAACTGGGGTAGTGGATGGGGCATTGCTGAAGAAGACTTCAAAAGTATACAGAATCATGCAAACTGGGGTTATGGATGGGGCATTGCTGAAGAAGACTTCAAAAGTAATCAGAATCATGCAAACTGGGGTTATGGATGGAGCAATGCTGAAGTAGACTTCAAAAATAAAGAAAATCCTGAAAACTGGGGTTGTGGATGGAATGCGGATAATAAAGAAAATCCACGGAGACCTGATTCTACTCAGACTCAGAGCAAAGCAGCTGTAGGAGGATGGGATAACAGTTGGAACAACAATTGGGATAATAACTTAAGCAAGTGGAAGAACAATATCGACGCTTCAAAGAACATGCATTATGGAAGAGCTGATGGAGCTTCATGGGGAAATTCAAATGGAAATGGAAGGAAGAAAGATGGAGGTAGTTGGTACAACTCAAGGTATAAGACCTCGAGAGTTCAAGGTGACTATTACCAGAAAAACGGAGGGTGGAGTAACGGAGGCAGAAGGAACAACAGAGATCATGTCGGTTACGAGAACCTGGCTTGAGGGGGTAAAACTCGGAAATGTAAGCTAATCTGGGACTCGAATGGGTGAGAAACCAGTTTTGCGAGTGTCTCGAGTATGTGATTTATGTTGTAGTTTTGTTTTGTCTTTTGTTGGCTTTGCCTGTTTTGGGCAGAGTATATAGTAGGTGGGGGTAGTAAAAATGTGAAGTGTAATCGGCAAGGTCGTATCTATTCTATTCATTCAGTTTGTATGTGTTGCATTTGTGCAATCTATATGTTGAAATAAAAACCTCACCTAAGGTTTCTTAGCAGGCGCTGAAAATTGGTTGAGATGTATATCTCAGGTCATATGTTTGTTGATTGTCTCAGCAATTGTAAATTGAAGGTCAGAATATCAAAGAGACAGAGAGGCATTCTGTTTTTGGCCGATATTTCCTTTTCTTGGTTAGTGTTCGGAGAGTGGGATAATGACTTACATGGAACAGGTTTTCCACCACCGGGCGTCCCTATTCAGTAAGCAATGAGGTCCACTGTGGCTTCCTACTCTAATAATGTCATGCCGTGTGTAAGTTATTCTTGACACGACATGATGTTATTGGACCATGATTCCAGGTGCTGGTAAATCCGTTTCATGCAAGTTGTTCTATACAACAGTGATGTTTTGAAAAATACACTGTAAATATGCAGACTTGTTATATCGAATTCATTATAACAATTGTATTTGTTTTTGGGTTTACCTTTTAGGGTTTTAGGGTTATTGAAAGGCAGGTTTATGGTTTTGATATTAATGGCGACAACTGGTATAAGTTGGGTTGTATAGTTAATTACAAATTATAATTCCACAAAACCCTCTTACCTCCGGCCTCAGTGACCAGGAGCTTTGGTACCCTACTATGTGTTGACTTACTTTTGGACGTCAACAACTTTCATGATGGTGTCCCGGAATATCCTATATTTCATGACTTTTAGGGTTTGTTCGTAGTAGCGAGTTCCTGGTTTGGATCCTAGGCCCCCAAGAAATCAGTCCTCGATCGATTGTCGAGCCCTAGGTTTGTGTCACATAATCCAATCCCAATTTAGAAGCACAAAGCCCAAGTCGGGTCTCAAATCCTCAAGTTCGAGAGTGGAAGCTACGCTCACGTGACGGCCAGCACGCCTTGATTCTCTGGGTCAGGGTGTGTCAACAAAAATGGACAAGATAATAGGGGTGATGATGACGATAACGGTGGCGAGGGCAATGATTGTGATGGTAGTGCCAATAAAAGGGTGTGATGGTTGGGTTGTAGAGGTAACAATGGTGGTAGAAGCGGCGACAACGACGATGGTGGCGGTTATGGTGGCAATGGTAGTAGTTGTGTTTATAATGGTGGTGGTGGCAATGACGGCAACGATGATAGTGGCAATTGTGGTTGTGGGAGTAGCGATTGCAGTTATGGTTGCGGTGGCGGTTTATAGTAGTAATGTTCACAACAATGATGGTGGTAATGACAATAGTGGTGTAAGAGGTTAGGGTCTATGGTAGGTGGTGGCGATCATTTTGTTCTCCAAAAATAAAATAAAATATGCTTAGAAGAATAAATAACGTTAATTTTAAAAATTAATGAGGGTATTACAAGAATTGAAAATATTCATCAAAAGTTCAACTCCGCTTTTTATTAAAGCATCTTTTAAAACGTTAATTTTAAAAATTAATGAGGGTATTACAAGAATTGAAAATATTCATCAAAAGTTCAACTCCACTTTTTATTAAAGCATCTTTTAAAAGCAACCTACGTACAGACTGTTTTTAAAAACTGATGTCTGGAGACCATTGCTTTTAAAATAAGCATGATATTTTATTTTTACCAAACATTTTTTTATTGTTTAACTTTTAAGTGAAACAGTTTTTGGTGATAAAAAGCATTACCAAACGAGGCCCTAGTTTGGCTCGAATTCAAAAACCAAGCCAAACTTAAACATTAGTATATTCAACTCATAAAGCTTGTGAGCAATTCGAAAATTTTTACGAGACTGCTTGGAGAAGTTTGAGGTTAGCTCGATCGTTCAAGCTTGACATGTAATAATCTTTATAAAAATTACATGTCCTCAACTCTTGCTTAACTGTGTTGTAAGAATACTATATATTTGGGTAAATTACATTTTACCCCCTTAAGTTTGAGTTCGATTTCAATTCCTTACAACATTTTTAAAACATTTCAATTTCATACATTTACTTATCATTTTATTTCAATTCCATACATCCGTTAGAAAATCTATTAAGTAAACCGTTAAGTGATGACGTGGCAAATATGGGATCCACATTTATGTTGACGTGACTGCCATATTTGTGCCACGTGGCAAAAAAAATTTTATGCATTTAAAATATAATAATATTTACCCTATTTATAAAAAATAAAAAATAAGAAATAAGAGAGTGTGAATTTTTCTTCCGGTTGGGCTAGGGTGGTGGTGGGTCGAGTTCATTGGGGTCGGGGGGTAAAGAGGGAGGAGTGGGTCTGGGGAAAGAGAAGGGATGGGAGGTGAAGAGGGAGGAGATGGAGAAGTGGGTCGGGGGGGTTTCTGGGTTTGAATGGGTGGTTTTTTAATTTTTTTTAATAGGGTAAATATTATTATATCTTAAATATATAAAAAAATTAATTTTTTTGCCACGTGTTACAAATGTGTTAGCCACGTCAACACAAATGTGGATCCCATATTTGCCATGTCATCACTTAACGGTTTAAGTAACATATTTTCTAACGGATGTATGAAATTGAAATAAAATGATAAGCAGATGTAAGAAATTGAAATGTTTTAAAAATATTATAAGGAATGAAATCGACCATAAACCTGAGGAAGTAGAATGTAATTTACCCTATATATTTTTTATTTCTTGTCTAATGCTATTTGAAGGCCCAAATCAAGCTAACTCAATTAACATAACAAGTTGTCGCTTAAAGAACCCTAGAACATACTACAAATTTCAACAGCCAAAGTACTATGGCTAAATTGTTCATTTGTTCCCAGTGCTAAACTGCTGGCGCCTACTTAAAAATGTTATAGAGATAAGATACCATTCTATCACGCCCCACATTCGAGATTGGTAGAAAAATTAATCCGCACCCGATTCACGAATATAAAAAAATAAATAAATAAATCAAACAATCTTAGTCACAGAACCTAAAAACCTTAGCGTATAAAGGTGATAATAAAACTCCCATATTCTCGTCTAACACAAACTGAGCTCGTCTAGCTCCTATCTTGCCAAATAAATCATATAAAGAACAAAAGATGAGGGGTGAGCAACAATCATCGTTGCCTAGTTAATAGTATATGTAATATTTCAGTTAAGCGATGTCGTTTTATATGCGCTAGAAAATATCACAATTATATGAAAAGATTTAGCCATAGACCCGGCAGTTTCTGACACGACACGAAAATAACGAGTTTCGGGTCAACACGATAACTTATCGGGTCATTATCGGGTGACCCGTTAAGAACCCGTTAATAACGGGTATACACGCGGGTAATACGTGGGTAACCAGTTTCAACCCGTTAAGAAAAAATTTATTTTGATAATTTTAAAGTTTAATTACTAAAAGATTTATTATAAAATACAATAGCCATATTAATATTAATTTTTCTATATAAGTTAAAAAAAAAACGTTTTAGTCATTATTTATTTTTATTATGAGAGTTCCTTATTATCATTACTAGGATAAATTTTACTTAACATGTTGTTTGTCCAAAATTAAAATAAACTAATATAGTATTTGTATAGGTAAGAACTAAGAAGACATACATACAAGTATGAAAAATGTAAAAGAATATATAAACACTCGTGATTCATCATTATTCCTCCACGAGTAGATAATGGTTATACTTACATTATCGTTTAGATTTTTAAAATCCTCCAAACCTTCACGAATAATGTTTTTTATTTGATGGCAAAATTAATAAAATTAATAATAATTATTGTAGAAGTGTAAAAAATGTAAAAAAAAAATATACAATCACTCATAGTGATAAACTTTACAACTTTCATGAAGGGGTCAGCTTCGAAATCCAACACTATAATTCATAAACCTTAAATTTATATTTTACCGTCGATTGTCATTTACACTTTATTCTTCTTACTGAATTTCATTTTTTAAATTTTCTTTTTTGAAAACATGATCATCTGGCGGATGTAAGAAGATGAACGGTTCAGATCTTTGATATCACGTTTTGATATTTACGGTTAACTGAAATATGAGTCGATGTCATATAGTTTGTAGAAACTTTATAAACATCAAGCAATATTTTCACTAACCATAAAACTCTGAATATAATATCAACGATCCAAACCGTTCATCTTCATGCGTCCTCTAATAGATCAAGTTTCAAAAAAGAAAATCTGAAAAAACAAAATTTGATGAGAACAATGAAGCGTAAATGTAAACAACAATCAACGGTTAAATTTTAATCTATGATTTATATGATTATAGTGGTGAATTTTGAAGTTAAGCTTTTCATGAAAGTTGTAAAACTTGTCATTACGAGCGTTTATGTATTTTTTTCTATATTTTTTTTTTACACTTCTACATTAATTAAAAAATTATTAAAGACTTGAGGTAAGTGAAATATACATAAAAGAAAATTGCGTTTTTATGTTTTGGATGTAACAATATGATATGTATATACTTATTTAGTATTATGTTTTTCATTTGATTATTTATTGGTTTAAAATATATTTTCCTTAATGGGTAACGGGTTGGGTCATATTACCTGTTTATTTTAACGGGTATTACACTACACGACCTGTTAAGATATCGGGTATGACACGAAAACGACACGAACACGGAAAACACGACACGAATGCCAGGTCTATTTAGCCATATAATTTCACATCACATCATCCCTCCACGTATTGGTTATTCTTTATAAAATGTAGCTCACCACGTGACCCTTATGATAGGATTTTTACCACCTACAAAAGTAGGGATAAAAAATACTTGCAAGAGAACAAGGTTGTTGTAGTATAAATGGCTCAAGTAAGGTCGCTTTCTGCAGGGATTATTTAAAACAATTTATGAAAAACCCTAATCCTAGTTAATTATAAGAAAATAAAGATTGGAAAAAGTTGATTTTGAAATTTAAAAATATTAAAAACGAATTTTAATAAAATTAATTTAGGGAAAGCAACTAATAACCAATTAAAAAGAAAACAAATCGAAGACAAAAGATTTTGAGAAACAAATTTGGAAAAGCACTAGGGTTCCGCCGTCACCCTAACAATCCTACGCAGTTCTTCTCATTCCTTATGAATTACACATGCATATTTTGAAGGTTAGGTTTTCCTAAAATATGCCCTACTTGGAACCCCCAACAT